CATAAATACACTTCAGGACAATCCTATCCTATAGAACGATTGTATCTACATCCATTGTACGATGAAAGTCGATCAACAAATGACATTGGAATTATCAAACTTGCAAAACCTATTCAATTTACAAATCAAGTACAACCAATATGCTTAGTGGAAAATGTATGTTATGATGTTAGGTTAATAATGAGTTAAAATTCCATCTATTATCGTTGGTGAGATGTCGCCACAACAGTGGTCACAATGGGTCTGTTCGTAACTGAAACATATCTCCGTCAAATTAATTGATGACGGAAATTAATTAGCTCGGAACGGTCGTAAAATGACGAAAACACATGTGGCTAGAGGCTAATAGAGCCGGATTGTTAATATTTTACTATCCCGAATAATGGTGAGCGCCAAAAGTCAAAAATTCGAAAAAGTCTCATTAACTTCCACAAAGATGTCTCTCTGACAATAAATTTAGACAGAATATCAGAAATATGGTTTTATCAGCCTCTAGTCACATGTGTCAGCTTTAATTAAAGACCGTCCCGAACTCTCCATCATGTTGCGTTACCAAGAAATCCTGCAGCTATGAGATGCTGTCAAGGTGAAAGTCGGTTTCCAGCTATCGCGGCGCTAGCGTCTGATACATATTTTAGGGCTTCTAGCAAAACTCTCATAACTTTACTTCATCCGGAGCTGGGTGATGGCTTTTTTTGATTAGAAATGTTACATTTTAGCGTTATTGCAAGTATTTTTGGATGTATTTTTTTATCAGAAGATAAAAAGGTTCAAATAACTTGACAATTTCTTTTTCTAGATAACGGAACCACCGTTGGATGAAACTGTGTTTGTAGCAGGATGGGGGAATACAATTATTGACGACTGGAATAGTGCAAGTGATGTATTATTACAAGCTCGTTTACGTGTAATTAGTGATTGTTCAATGTATTTTGCTTATACACATCAAGAACAAATTTGTACGATGCCCAACAGTTTTTCTGTTAATGATCACGGGTTTGTATTCATTTTCTTCAAATTTTATTTTAAGTTGATTCATTTTTCTTATTTTTAGGTCATGTCAAGGCGATAGTGGTGGTGGCTTATTCTATAATAAAAATAATCAATGGTATGTTGCTGGTGTTGCGAGTTATGCCAATGGATGTGGCCAGTACAGTTTTCCAACAGTATTTACAAAAACAAGTGCATACATTAATTGGATCCGTTCAATTATCAGTAGTTAAGAACAAAAAATAAACTTTAAATATTTTTGTACACTATTGTCAGCAATATATAAGCATAGAGAAATAATTAAGTGCAATAAATTATCATCAATATATTTCGAACGTTTGCAGTTTGTATCGAGTCAGGATCAAAGACGGAGGAACGACTTAGAATCTAGGGGAGGGGTCGCAAATTTTGGTGGAAAAACTTTAGGAGGAGCGAGTCATAATGATTGCAGTTGGATAGTATCGATCGTATGAGAAAAACGTATTTCGTATACGTATAAAAACTGTTTGGAAAACCATTCAAACAGTTTTTTTCCATGACGCATTCAACGGAAGACGAGCTCTAAAAACGTGACCACTTTAAAAGTTTTTCATTTCATTGTTGAAATAACAATTGCGGATGCCGACCAGAAGAAAATATTTCTCTTTTATATTCTCAGGCTTTGTAGCTTAGAATGTCAGGATGTTTTCCTGAAGGTTTGGTCTTGTAGGAAGGCTTCTGAGCTGAGGTATATCAATTTTATTAAACATATCCATAATGCAGAAGAAAAAAAATTTCTACTTTTTCTCTCACTGTTTCTGTGCGCATAATTCACTAAACATATCTAAAAATAAAGTCTTGCTGAATCGATTTGTATATGGAATATTCTTATTCAGTTAGAAGAGAACGCTAGAAAACACTATCTTTCCCCTAAGTACCAAAAATTCCCGAAAATTTATTTTTAATAACTTTTGATGAAACCATTTTCTAGACTCAAAATACATACCGTTGGATGCGTCTTGACGAGTACTATCTACTCACTTGTCATTGATAGTAAATAGAAAAAACTAACCTGGTGTATCCTTTGGTGGAAAAACTTTAGAAGGACCGAGTCATAATGATTGCAGTTGGATACCCTAGTAGCATTCCCGCTTCATTTCTCGGCAAGAATACAGCCTCATCTTGCCGCGATTTTGACAAGAAATTTGAAACTTAACGCGGGATCGATACCGCAATCGTACCTAATCTTGCTATTTTTTCCGTGTAACGAAAATTTAAGAATCTTGACGCGAAAATTTTTTGATCGCGCTGAAATCCTGCAAAGGTTCGGCAGGATTAAAACGGGATCTGGACAAGAGCGTACCAAGATCCTGGTGGGATTAGAACCAGATTGCATGAAGGCTGAGCAAGCTTTCCTGCCACTTGTCTGATTGTCACTACGTTCTTTCGATGGTTTAATCTCTTTTTCGTCATGTTTTACTCGATATTTTCTTCGAGAACATGAAGTAATTAGAGATTTTCTGCTAGAACAGCATCTTCAGAGTACACAGCAATGTATTTTTTTATTTGAAGTTTTGAGTTATAAACTCATTTCATTTCAATGTCACAAAGTTGAACTATTATTAATTTGCTCATCTAAAGTTTGTTCCTTTTTTTGCCGGTGAGAAGTTTCATCTCAAATGTATCTTTAGGTTCTTCATCGGTGTATTTTTCAGTTCTAATTCGAAACGTTACTGACATTGGATCTTAGAATAGACGTGAGAGGGGCTGTCTTTGTGTTTCATCTGTGAGTTGCGCCCATAAGGTAACGTTTGCCGTATGTGAAGAAAACATTCACGCTTGAACTTCCAGTGAACGTGTATCTGTAGATACTTGACACTCTGACCAGTTCGTTGCTAGAGCCAATCTACCGTCCTGTGATTGAAGTGCTCTGGCTGTGCCGCTATCCTCTGTGCGTCAAACAGGATCGAAATGAGCGTTGCTACATTCTGAAAGACTCAAAAGGCAAAGCGATCTTAACCGAGGGAACTCACATGGTAACTCAACCTTTGTGTGGATTACTCTCACTGTTGTGCATTTTCATTTTGAGATTTCTGCACAGTCAACATATTTAACTGAACCTACACATGGGAGAAGACTTTAGACGTTGTGCATTATCCGAGAAAGAATATTCTTTTTCGATTCTAAAACTGTCAAGAAGAAAATAGTTCAACTGTGAGACAAAAAAATTAATTTTTCTCTTCGAATATTCTTCTTCTCTCGAAAATTGCTGTGTGTTTACTGATGACAATAGTCAAATAGTTAATCTATTTCCATTAACTAGGCACCGATTGATTTTGTATCTTGATAGTTTAAGGAACAGAATGATATAATAATAAAAAATTTTCCTCAACAGTGGACAAAGGAAAAATCTCCTCAAGATCTTGTCTCGAATTAGACACGATTTTGCTATAATCCTGCCCCTCATTCTCTTGAAACACAAATGAAATGGGATCGCATAACGAACTTGATCAAGGACACGGTTACAATTATAAGATCGTGATTTTATTTTTCCAAGATCAGCATTTTTTCGTTACACGGGAAAAAATCGGGTTCGCGATCAGATATCAGCAAGAATGGAACTGGAATACCACTAGTGTAGTATCGATCGTTTGAGAAAAACGTATTGGCACTGTTTCGAATTCAAACCTGAAATAATTAGTGCGTTCAAAAAGTTCCCAGACTGATTTTATTTAAAAAACACAAAATGAGTAACAGTCATAAGTTAATACTTTCTTTTCGAAGTATCTCCTCTCTGCAGCAATACACTTTTGCCAACATTCTGGCAGCTTTTGTGTAGCTGCTGTGAAGTCATCTTCAGGCACTGATGTATTGCCGTACATAGTAAACTTGGATTATCGTAGTGTTTTTAACTGAGACATTCCTTTAAAACTGAAAGATAATAATTACTGACAGTCAGATCTCCAAAATAAGGAGGCTGTGACAGCAACTGATATTTAGCATCATGAATAGTAGACAAAACAAGATATGATGTGTGTACTATAGTAGTATTAAAATTAGGTATGCTCCAGTTAAAAACGGGTGGTGGGGCATTAGAGAAAATTGTTACACATCGGTTATCAAGATTGACTCAGAGCTGCGGAACGTCTCATTTAGTAGAAAGATGTTTGCTCTACAAAGTACATTTGTTAAAAGAACCCTAAAATTATTCTGACGAAACTTGGAGCATCAAATTGTGAAAAAGAACTATACAATTTTTTCGGAAATCCCACGAGGGTGCTCTGATGCGGTCCCGTAGAGGACAAAAATTCTTTTGTCCTTGAAGCAGGTCTGGGATGATCTAAAAACTGACGAGGCACGATCTTTGCAGAACAGAATCATTTTTTGACTGTAAGCGTGAAGATTACTCAACGATGATCTAATCTAAACCTATAAAATGGTTTGAAATATTAGTTGATGTTTGGTGAAAAAGAAAGTTTAGAAATATCAACAAAGCAAAAAGGAATCAGATATCTACAGAGGCTTCATTTCTCAGAACCCGTCTCATCGCGTTCGCTCACTCTATAAACCATCCCCGTCTCGTCCTCGTTGAAAAAACATTTCTTGCTTTTCATTATTTTTTAAAGGACGGGAAACGGTTTCTGCTAGAAAATCGCCCAATATGATTTTGAGTGGAAATGATCGGAAATGCATCCCTTTTCACTTCCCAACACTTCCCATTTTCAAAAAATCCTTCTGGTGTCTTT